ATTATGACGTTATTACTTACATACCTATATGAATTTAAGATATTTCAATGCTTATGGCTCATTTTATCACTTATAGTCTGTTGATACGATTTATGGTAAAAAAAATTTATTCATACGAAAATATATATGGTAGATACCTACCTACTTATAACAGTTCACTGAACTTTTAATTATTTTTATATTAGTTGCGTGCTGCACTGCCAGTGATCCAAATATTAAAATGATTGTTGAAGTATTATAATTAGCTTAAGAGGATTTCCAGAAGTTAAATAATGAAATAGTTGTTTATCAAGTAAACACAAGTTATAAATGTAATAATTACAATTACTGTACAAATCGTGTGGCGTGAAGGTCCTCAGAACTCAACGGCTATGGTACATCTAAAAATGCTGTACAGAAAACTCCCTTTTGAATGGTGTTCCCGTTCCTTTTTTTTTATATACCAGAGGTACTACAATTTGGCCAACGCCCTTCTTGTTGTCTGAATAGGTAAAATCCTGTTTTCATAAATGCAAATTGCTTGATCTAAATTTAAGTTATTTAATTATATATTTATTTTATGGGAGAGGCACACTATTTGGTACATTGGATAGCCAGRCAGGTCAAAGCTACTAATTAGTACTTTAAAAAAATTCTTCTATTACCTACCATAATATTATACTTACACATGATTATGATGTTACAACAACATGTTGTTATTTTGGAAATAACTAGTGATAKGAAACGATATAATTTTGTTTATCGATATAAAATTTTTGGTCACGATATCAAAATGGTATTGAATTATCGATATTATTGCTCATCATAATTTTAAGTTAAAATAGCCAGTCAAAGCAAAAGATACAATAAATTATTACTAATATACATTTTTACCGAACACGCATACCTAATATAGCTATAGCCCATATATACCACATACAGACAAGTAGACAACASAATAAAACTACAATGAACGAGGATTTTAAATATAATAATTTTAAATGGTAAGAAATTACAAGGTTATAAAATCATTCTTAAGACAAGTGTTTGATAATTAATAATTATTATAAACATTGTTATGAAAAGGAATTCAAAGGTAACCTAGCTTCCGTTGCTGCTATTAAATATTACTTTATGATATGAAGAAACTTTATTATAATCTAAAGATAATGTTCCGATATTTATCATAACGGGATAGTCGAATTGCACTTATTACCTAAAAAGAAATGGTCGAATTGCACTTAGGTAAAAAGCAGGTAGTAGTCAAACTACACTCGTTTAAAAAAAGGAGTACATAATAGTACATAATAATAACGTGTTATTAAACATAGCTGAATTTGTATTCCCTTGTTACGAGACGAACGTTTATAGTGGGAACTGGAAAACGTTAAAATATTAGGAACCTTATGTTTAATAAATCATTTTCACCAACACATCCAAATATATTTGTATCTATTGATGTTTTAATACAATTACAAATAGATACTTATATTTTAATGCAGAATACAGACACAAGACTACACGGTACCAGAAAAAAATTAATGGTATTGAAAAATATATTAACTTATAATGCTCAAAAGCGTATTACCAGGCTAGAGTTTTTGAATGCAGTTTGTTATTACTACAAAAAATGATCGAAGTTAGTCTTAAAAAAAAGTTATAATAATGCAATAAAAATATTTAATGATTTAATTTATGTATATTGCATATAATATTATGTTAAGATAATGTACAATGAGTATGTATAAAACAATCATATTTAACCATGCCATTGATTAAAACCATTGTCAGTCCTAAGCCTGTAAGTGGGAAGGGTAATGAGTGTTTTCTAAACGTTCAACACCTTCAAAGTTCAAATGCATGATATTTTTGTTGGAATACCTTTTAAGAGCCCAAGTGCAGTTCGACGTTCGACTAAAATAAGTGCAATTCGACCATACTTTATTAAAAAGTTAATCATTGCTATTRGATATCGTAAGTGATAATGAACCCTAATGCAATTGAATCGATTCATTACTCTAATGATCTTTTTAAATTTTAAGCGACGTCATATTTAGACAAAATTAGACCACCTTCAATATTATAATATTACGGTATGTTAATATTTTACTTATTATCATCATCAATTTTGTTTTTTTAAATTAAACAATACATAGATATGTACGTGGTATATATTTTATATTTACTTATAAACTATATTCATAATAGATTTTTCGATTTTTTTTTATCCTTTATGTACTTTTGTAGGTCAACAATTGTTCAACTGTAGCTGTGATAAATTGAGAACCCAATTTCGCTAAAATTGTTTTTTCATCATTTTTATACAAGCATATAATATTGTCATCACTTATCAATACATCACATTTTATTCATGGTGTACTTATACATTTTTGGCATTTTGCTTTCATTATATTTATATTACATTAATATCGATCAACGAACGTCTTGAAGTGTCGAATAATGACCGCAGTCCAATCATCTATTCACAAAATAATGTTCTTTATAACTTATATTATATCAATGAATAAGTAGATACCCCAACTTCAACTGGGTTTATCAATTTGTTATTTCATTGTTTATTAATTTTTGGTTTTATAATAATCGACAATCGTGATGAGACGACCGTTACGACAGTTTTCAAACGGGTTTGTGGTTGTTACGTGATATCGCGAAACCACAATTTATTGTAATATATTAGTCAGTGCCACTCAGTGGTCACTATTTTATCTATCATTAACTATAGGTGAATATTATTAAATGTTATAAATGTTAAGTAGATTATATTACATCGTGCATATATCGGGTAATTCAATTATCAAATAACACTTGATATTTAAAAAAAATCACACTACCTATAAATACTCGATATTTTTCCTGTATATTATAATTTATAAATATACGGATCTTGTATATTTTTATTTTTATTAATAAGTAACAATGACAATGAAAACCTTACGAAAAATGGATCACCAACAAAAAACATGTATTCAGCTCCAAAGGTCAAAAACACATTAAAGTTTTATTGCATAAAATTACTTGCATAAATTAAAATTGTTAGCTACTGTAAAAAAAAATATACATATACATAAATAAAACAATTTACCGTTTTTATAATTATTATTTTTCAAATTTTTTTCTGTTTGTATGATAGAATATGTTTTGGAGTATTTCGGTTTATAAACTTCAAATTTCAAAGGAGCAATTTAGTGATAAGTATTAATTAACGTTTAAATGAGCGGGATAGAGTTGTAGAACATAATTTTTTCTCCACTTAAACATACAGCTTATATATATTTAAAATATTTATAATGCCTAATAATTAATTAACTGCTCGTTCAAAACTCGGTTTAAGTATCGAAATACTCTAAAAAATATTCTACTCTAGCAGTAAATATATATATATATATATATGTTAATGTTGTTTTATAATTACTTAAAATAATGTAAAAATATTAAATAATACTTATATTTTCAAAATCGTTAATACTTTTCGAAAAATTAGTGTGGATCTTTAAAAATTAAAATTAACTCCTTGTGTATAAGTAGGTACTAGCTAAATTGGCACCTACTATTTAACCTATTACCGCGGTGGGCTACAGTTTCTGGTACAGGCGAGTATTGTGAATTATCGATTGAAGGAATCCGGAGCGTGAATAATTTTCGTGAAAACTTGAGTTCGTTTTATTATTGTTATAAATGGTATAATGATGAACGGTGTGAAAATGCATTCCAATTTCCGATATGTATATTGTAGATATATAAACATAACACATATCGATATTAAACCTATACGAAAACAAACTGACTATACCGAATATTCGAAATATCATTGACATAGACAAAATAGCTACAAAAAATATTTATAGTAGGTATAAATTACCATATTTAAAACATATCATAAATATTTATATTTTCAATTCATTAACTTTTTTGTATTTAATATCATATTATGTAAAACATAATTTACAACTTATCCTTGTATCATACGTATATGATATAATGTGTGTAGTATGGCTACTTAATCACGTGATATAATCACGCGTGTGTGTAATCCAACAGAATTTTCATATAACATTATACTGTACGGATGGGAAATTTTTCTAACTACTTCTTTGCCTTTAAATTATGAAATATACATGTTATACCTATAATAAATAATAAAAAAAAAAATTAGCTTATCATTTTTTTTTTAGCATTACAGACCATTAATTTAGGCCCTTTCCTGTCAATATAACATTCTTCCACTCTTCTCTATTATATAGGGTTGTATTAGATCTCCATGCCAATCTGGCCTTAACTCCTGGATATCTCTTTTGATTACGTCAAACCAATGCTGCTTTGGTCTACCGCGAGGTCTTTTTCTGTTCAAGTTATTTACAAGTACCATCTTGGCAATACTATTATCAGCTCTCCACGCGTAACCTGTCCACTTCAGTCTTGAGCCTTTTACAACTTGTGTTATATTTTCTTTTCAATGTAATATAAAAATTATTTAAATTTTTTCAAAAGTTATTTGTGTGCTACGGCTTTGTCATCCCTGGGCTACAATTTCGTCATATAGGTACTTATTATGTTAATTTGTATAGATTGAATATTTAAAAAAAAAAGAAAATAATTTAAATGTACTTGAAATAATTTTGAAATATTCATTTTGTGTTAATAATAGCATTATAATTTTTTAAGGTAATTTTACAATATTGAATYTTATATTTATATACTTAACTGTATTTGAAGCTTTTTTAAATTGTTGATAATATATTTTTTTTAGAGTTATTTATACAGGAAAATTAATCGTTCATTAGCAATGACTGATAAGTGATAACCGTGGTAAGTTTTCACAGATCACGAAACGACACTCCTGTCAATTTAGAACAAATCGACGACGTACGAGATTATTTTGTCGAATTTTCAGCGGTATGCAAGAGAATTCGACGATTGATTGAGGCAAGTGTGGTGATTCTTTAGTGTCTGCTTACTTTTGTGTWCTCTTYTTTTACCTATGTAGCCGTARTGCTACTAACTTTTTATTGACAGTGTCCATCCACCGGCGGTGGTAGTCTAACATAAACGGTGTCTGTTCCGCAGACACAACCGCYGACGAATTGAATGGAWTGTCCTTGTTCACCACAGCCACTGAGGCTGGTTTCCACTTTTCCGGCACAACCTTTACAAACAGTCCTGTCTCAGCTTTCGAGTTTTTCTTGTAGTCCACCGTCACTATTATACACAAGTATTGGATAGAAAAGAGATTTGAAAAAAATTAACAATTCAGATATAGACGCAGAAATTTTGTTTTTTTAAATGAAAGTATAATATTTTTTGTACAAGTATTATGCATCAGTGACGAAACCAAGAGGTGCTGGGAGAGGTATAGCTCCCCTCTAAATTTTAAGAAAATTAAAAAAAAACTGTTCTATGGGCTAAAGTTACAAGYAAATACACATTTGTATAACCGAACAGGAACCGAGGAACCCAACCCTAAAATAAAACTTCAGCATATGTTAAACTTATAGGAGACCCTAGTTAAACCAAATCTGTGTAAACACATTATCTGCCCCCTCCCAAATAAAAGTCTTAACTACACAACTAATAAATGTATATATATATATGTCACAATTGGTCACAAAAAATAAAATAATTATTATGATTAAAATTATAGGATAAAATTTGAAAAATTGTATTATTTTGGGGGAAAATTTGGTAATTGATAAGCTGATGACGAGACGGGTAAGATTACGAATTGATAATATTTATTAACAAATTATGAAATAAATCGATATTAGTAACAGATYACACACATGATGTTATCAACATCTAATTATCGAAGTTATTCTGATAACAATTTAATATTTTATTTATTTTTATTACCTCTTAAACCACGCTTTGATAACTTTTTTGGTATATTTACTGTAAGAATTTCTGGAGTACCATCCTTATAATAATTACTAAATCGATTATACAAAATTTAGAAAGAGCATGTATAAGCCATATTTTGAATATATTTATGATAAATATGATAAAGTGTATAATGCTGATATATAATTAAAATGCTTAAAAAATATTTATGCAACAAGATGACATKATGTTGTTCGGTAATTGTTTATATTGACTAGATAAACGTTATTGACTTATTTRAATTTGCTTAATCATTGTTATTTTATTAAATAATAATTGTTATCATAATGTGAATTTCAAACATCATCGTGCATAAAACTCAAGTATAAATTTTAATAGAATAAAATTAATAAATTCATTCTTCACTCAAATAAATTACAACGCTAGGTATAAAAATGATGTACCTTTTACAATGTCACGCAGGAGCATCGGCACTAAATTGGCAATTACGCTCGTAGACGGATTCAGTCCGGGAATGGAATTGATCTCGATTAAATATGGGATAAATTTATCTGTAATCAAGAAGTCGGCTCCAAACAATTGAAAAGTTTTGTCGCGATAAAACGAAGTGTCCGTAGCAGCTTGTAAYACAGCGTAAATACTCTCACTCATGCCGGGAAATATTAATTCATCCCATACGTATTCTTGTCCGATATTCCTGAAATAGGCATGTAATTGTATGACTATTAGGCGAMACGGAAATAACTTATACAATTATATTATTATACGAACATGACGCTTTTAGTTTGGCACAGCAGGGACTAAAATAACAAGACACTATGTATAATACCCAACTGTATCGACTGAGCTGTGTTTTTTTGTTGTTTTTATTATAAAATATACAAACAATAGTAATTTATTTTTACAATAAGTGTAAAACGAGTGATGRACAAGTTATACGTTGACAGACGTTTTGTTGGAAGGAAACGGTCACGGCTAAATGGTTTATTACTTTTTATTCATTAGATAGGGTCATGATACTACTTCACTTTTAAACGTCTCTTATTGTGTGTGTAACGTGGGATATTGAGAACGGTGAAGTTTGAAATTAGAGAATTATGTTGGATAGGTGGATTGATGGAGTAAAAGTGTTTAATATGAATTTTTGGTAGCAAATTGGAATGGATATACCCAATTAAGTATTTAAGTGAAGGGTATGCAATTAAAGTAGTCTGTTGTCTGTATTATGAAAAGTCGTTGTTAATATTTTTTTTTCATATTTATTATTTTAATTATCTAAAGAATGTGTACAATGAGGAGAACGAAAAATATATAGGTATTTCAGCCTCTGCCCTCAGATATAGAGTATCCAAATCTTTATTAAACAATTGGTTATCAAGAAGTCTCTTGCCACTTGTGAGTAAGTTGTGACTACTTTATTAATATAGGTTAACATTTTATTATCAATTTAATTGTATGAATTTGAACCTGTCCGTGTGTTAGTTTTAAATGTTCATAAAAATACAGTTATAATATTACAGATTTGGGTAAAAGGTATTATTGCACGTACCACCGTTGAGTCTATTGAGTTTCACATGGAAACAATCCATTCTATGACCACGAAAAGGATATTATTTTTTTTTCACCAAACAAAAAATATTCTAATTATTCRAATATAGCATCATATTTTTAAAAATATTTTTAACTGAATAAATATTTTATCTTGACATTTTTAAACMACTTGTATTACAATTTAAATGAAGACTATAAAAAATATAACTTGGTTATTTCCTTATTATGGGAAGTTTTAATATTTATTCAGAATTATTAAAATTGGGACAAAATTCAAAGTGTATTTTACTACTGTATTAATTATAATAGTTACTAGAGTAACCTAGTTTTTGACTAAAATTATATCAGGTCTCTGCCTCTTAAAAATCTGTATAAATAGACATTCAGTAACTCATGTCAGTTATAATATGTTATGCACCTCAAATAGTTTTGTAGTTCTCTGTAATCCCACATACACTCTGCAGGTACTTGTGAATTTCTAATTTTTCGATATTTATTTTGCAGTCTGACATTGCTGAGATGAATGGATTCATGTATATTTTCCATGGAAAAACTGTTAGTACAAAATCGAACGTAACCCTCTCTGTAATAAAATTAGTTATTTAAGCAATTTTTTAAAATTAATCGTGGCTTGTGTGTAATCTATATGATGCTATTATACAAAAATGGCGATAAAAAAAAAATTGAATAGGTATACTAACTTGTACATCCATACAACTACTGGACTCATATTGGTCACTAAAAACCATTGTCGTAAATCAATTTTACACGTATAAATCAAAAGCGGCCTTTCTACAAATAAAAATGACTTTGATAGTTGTTATGTCTTAATTTTTATATATTATGGATTATTTTTACCTATATATTTTTGTACAATATAATTATTTTTGAAGACATCTGCAACAGTGATTTTTTGTTTTATCGTCTGCAAGTGTCTAGACAATATAATACCATGACCAGAACAGTTTGACGTGGGTTTTATGATCCATGTGTTGGTAATCCCGTCTATATAGTGTTGGGGGCAATATTTTTTCACTTCTTCAAGTAAATATTTACATTTTGCATAAACATCTAACTATAGAGTAAAACAGATTACAATGATTACTTATTAGTTTATTACGGTTACTTCAATATCCAAAATCACGATTCTAGTGACAAATCTCGTATACTTGCTGATTTTTAGTACAATTAAATGAGTAAATAAAAATGCTTAAGCCTTATAATCAGTTAGGAGGTAAACCTCC